CCCCAAACAAATTCTGTAAGGCAGGGTAGGGTCTTGTTGACCTCTCTCTCTCTCTCTCTCTCTCTCTCTCTCTCTCTCTCTCTCTCTCGGATGTGAAATTTAATCTGCTTGTGGAAGGGTCTCCTTGAATATTTTCAAATGACAAACTTCAAGGACAACCCCCGCCCCCAGTACTGTAGAGAAGGCAGAGCCATCCCTCAGCAGAATGCTGTGAAGGTCAAGTGTAGCTTTAAAACACTCTCAGCTCCCTCTCTAGAAGCTTTCYTCATTTGAAAGACCCTTCTCTTCTAATTGCCAAGTCTCTGAGAAGTTGCCTATGACTCAAAGCCCCAGAATATGGAGCTCTAATTGCCCTCTCTCTCCTGAGAACTACCTGACCTCAAAATGCYTCTGTTTCTGCCTCCACTCTTCCACCCACAAATTAAAATCCTTTTCTTCATTTAGGAAGAAGAACCTGTTTTCACTTAAAAAGACAGCAGCAGCTTAAATCCAAATAAATCCATGTTTGGAGAAATTTCAAGAATAATGATAAAGGGCAAAGAAGAATTCCAAACMAGCCAAATCAAACCCTTGCCAGGGCAAGACTTGTAAGCATGACTTTGAATCACATTGATCTTTCCTCTGGCCTGCAGAATTATATGAAATAAGTKTGCAAGCTGATAATTTTGTTCGGTATTTGCACAATTTATCCAACTAACTCCCCACCCTGGCTTCTTAACCTACGGTACTGGAATTAAAGCTATTTTGTATAAGCTGGTTCTGGATGTTTGCTTCCTCCTGGGAAAGCAAAAAGGACTCACTTCAATAGGGCCCTCCCCTCATAATTCCACCAGATTCCCAAAAGTGTCTTAGATTCAAAAAAAAAAAAAAAAAGGTTAAGAAGCCTGCATGAGCACAAGTCCCTTAATTCTATCTCAGCTAGGTATGACTCAATCTTATTATAAAAACTCTCACAGATAAAAGACCTTACCTAGTTAACCTTTTACTATTTTTTCTCTCCTTATCTTTTTTCRCCCATAAAGTATTCCTGATTTCAAATAGCATTTTCAGTAATATATTTTTTTACTGCAGTGAATCAAAGGCACATTGAAAATATTCCTACCTCTTGATAATGCAGTGCCCCCACCCCACATATGATTCACAAGTGATTTGGTCAGAAACTTGATACCATGGATATATTGAAAAMAAGTTGTAAAGATATCAATTCTTAATTCCTCAAAGCAGCATTTCAAGGTCTGTAAAAGAATTCTTAATAGTAAGCAATATTCATGTCAGACTACACCAGAAGAAAACAAATAATCACAAAATCTAAGATATGGGGGGGGGGAACTCTAGCTATTTTTTTCTCTCTTCTGCTGCTGGAATTATTACAGTTTCTCCAACAAATAGTCATTTAATTATTATCTGAAAACTCCAGTGAGAAGGCTACCACTTGACTATTTGATCCCATTGTTATAATCCCTGATTGCTTTAGAAATCTGGGTACTTCCTTTTCTCACTAGGCTGCCTTTCTAAAACTTTAAGGCAGTTTCTGTGTYTCTTCTTCCTTATCACCTAGACAACACCCTATCCTGCTTATCTTTTCTATCTTTTCAGTTTCTCATACTACATAGTTGAACCTAGTACTGACCTTAAGAGTTAATGGAAGAATGAATGAGTGATCATGGATCTTGGTTGTATCTCTGTGGCATAAGGAGATGACAGGTGATACCCAGGATTCTATATGCCTTAGTCCTTCTCCAAGGCATTCACAGAAGTGTTGCCTGGAACAACGTGGGGCTGCCTATTACTAACCACGTTGTGGACATCCATCTCTATGGTTTAACCTGAGCTAAGAGGACTAGCSCTTGGGCTTTCACACTTGCCCTGAGATCTAACTATAAAAGGGCCAAGTTTCTGATGATACAGGAGGCTAGGGGCATGGCAGAATTCAAGAATGCCTTCCCTATTAAATATATAAATTATTTTAAAAATTATGACAGAGAGAGTTCTAACTCAGAGGTAGAGYACTTGTTTATATATTCAAGACCCTGAGTTCAATCCCAAGCACTATAAAAACAAACAAATTTAGCTCTTGTGACTCRAGAGTAGAAAATATGCTATCAGACTGGGGAAGGGAAGTTGAATTCTGGCTCTGCACCTTACTTGTAAAAGATTTTAATGAAGTTATTTGATTATGTGCCTCAATAGTTCCAACTATGGAAAACTGGGTTTTTAGGTTATATCCACATCACCAATTAAACAGAGTTGCTTCGAGAACCATGGACAGTCTGAGTTAATTAAATTAAGTAGACAACATCAGTCTTGTTATGCATCGTCTGCATTCATGACAGTCATATTCATGGTCCTGGCCTGACAGCAATACATGTGCTTGTGAAGTTACACTCCAAAGAGGCTTTGGGGAGAATCCTGCATCTTACTTCTCCATAACCATCTTTTGTTTTTTCAATTCTCTTTATTTTATTTGTTCTTTTTATATATACATGAGAGTAGAGTGTATTTTGACATATTATACATAATGTTCTATTCTTGTGGTTGTACATGATGTGGAGTTTCACTGGTCATGTATTCAGACATGAACATAGGAAAATTATGTCCAATTCATTTTACTATCTTTCCTATTCCCACCCCTTCCTTCCCTTCATTCTCCTTTGTCTAATCCAATGAACTTGTCTTCTTCCTTCTCCCCACACCCATTGTGAAATTAGCATCACAGAGAATACAGGGTCTTTGGGTTTGGGGCACTGTCTTATTTCACATAACATGATAATCTCCATCCATAACTGTCTTTTTTTTTTTTTGGAGAGGGGTATTGTGGAATGAACCCAGGGGCAATTGACCACTGAGTCACATCCCAGTCCTATTCTATTTTGTATATTATTTAGAGACAGGGTCTTACTGAGTTGCTTAGCACCTCATTTTTTAAAATTTTTTGTTGAGGTTGACTTTCAACTCAGGATCCTCCTGTCTCTGCCTCTCAAGCTGCTGCMATTGCAGGTGTGCACTACTGCACCCAGCCATAACCATCTTAATATGTTCCATCCACATCATTAGAGGATGAACTGATTTAGAGGGAATATTTCTAGACTGATTATCAGGAGATCTGGGTTATGGTCCCAGTGTTGTCATAAATCATCTGTTTGGCATAGGTTAACCTGCTTGACCTCTGCATCTCCCAGTGTCCTCAGTCAGTCTTATCAACCTCAAGAGGAATTATAAGGCAAAGTGGAAGACCTGGCATGTTGATATAGTGGTACTAATGACAATCATGTAAAGGTCTTCCAATAAAYAGGAGACTGAATAACCTTTCTCTCCTGTAGATTCCTCAAGGACTGATGYACTTGGAATGACCTGTCTCCCTCCTCCAACTCCTTCTTCTCCTCTTTATCTTTCTCTCTCTCTTCTTCTCTGTTACTCGTACAATGAATGAAACCTTTTGCATTACCTGGGCCATTGTTATTATCATTGTACTTCAGGCCTGGTTCAAACCACAGGCTCCCCAATTTTGATCCTACAATTAGAGTCAAATACACCATTCCTTACTTTGAAAGTCATAAGTCATTAGACAGGATGAAGTAAAGAACAATAAACCCAATAAAATGTAGATAAAGAAAATTATTGAGAATCTCTCCTAAGGTCTAGAAAGGGCTATATAAGTGCTTCATTCCTTGAACTCTCCTTCTACTGAGGGCCACCACAATCCTTCCTATAGTATACTAGTGTGGGTCCTGCAGGACTTATCAAAAGCCCATGTCATAATACCTGCAGATTTCAAGAAGAGGAAAGGGAAGCTCTTGATTACAGGACAGTGTTTTTGGAGATCATATAACAGGAATATCTAGGTCTTGGCCATTTTGCCTGTTCAAGCAATTATACCAACCCCATGGGGTTCTAATTTTGTAGTGTCCTTGGCCACAGAGATAACAAGAGTCCTTATTCTTGCAAGGTGTAATGAGGATATATGAGAAGAAATCCTGACTTCTAATAACCATAATAACTGGCCACCTTCAGCATTCCTTGTGTGGAAGACAATCTGGCCCTTCATTACCTTAATCTTCTCATAGTCCATTTTGCCCACATTCTTTCCACATTCTCACCTTTTTCTTAAACGAATAATGGATAATTTAATCATGAAAGCCTAGGTTCTATAAGATACCCTACAAATGGAGAAATAATGCCTTCTTTTCAAATATAATGATACTGAATGTATCACCAGTCCAGAAGCATAAACGATAATATTTTATATATAACCTTCAAAAATAATTGGGTCTATTTATTTAATTTCAGGAAAAAATGCCATGCAAGTGTTTGTGAATTTCATATTAAGTTGGAATAATTGTAGAATGAAAAGAAATAGCAAACTGTTTATTTATAAAAACAATAGTATTATTGTTTTGTTGAAATAAAATATCCCAAATTTTGCTGTTTCAAGATAGAAAATGCTACAGTGTGCACAGTCTTTAACTATATAGACAAGTTTGTCTCCCCCCAACCAAAATCTGATTCTCAGAAGCAGATTGTCTCTTCCACAAGGTTATAACTCATGTATAGTACTTTTCTCTAAGACCAGGACAATTGACATCTATTAATATAGCCTGCATTTTGCTAGGTGTTTTAACAACCCTCAGTAAAAAGGACTGCAGCAAAGATGACAGGATATATGTGGAAAGTGTCCTTCTGAAATTCAGATATGCTTATGATCTTCTCCTTTACACTTAATGGATTCCAGCACAGAATAAATAATAAAGAATTACTGCTACACAGTTGAGGCAAATTAAAGTCAATGCATTTGAGACTTCAGCAGTGAATTGACACTGGCACTGAATACCAATTGCAACTCATAAAGGTAAAGTATAATCAAGAGTTTGGCTGGCAGGCTTGAAAAAAGCTACCCAAATGGGGCCAACTTTAGGTTAAAACTATGCAGCGTTCTGGAGGACATGCACTGTCCCTCCCGGCCAGTCTGACACTCCACTGGACTTTATGTCATCTACACTCACCATTTTTGCAGAGCAAGACAGCCAGAAAGTCCTGAGAAGAAGAATTGAGAAAGAGCAAGAGGCTGGGTGTCTGAGCTGTCACAAAACTGAATGCAATGTTCTCTTTGGATGGAGCCGCATCTGTGTAAATAGCTGAAGATGAGAGGTTTGTATTCTTGGTGACAGGGTAGGGTTCTTGAAACATGTACGTAACTGATGTTCCAGCCTCAAAAACAGCAGAAACCTCTGTAAAAGAGAAAAAAAGGGAGCACACATTGAAACAGTCAGTGAAGCATTCAGAATAGTTATAGTTTCTTGTGTATTGTCTCCTACACACCAGGCACCATGTGAAGGGTTTTAAATGTATTATGTWACATGCTTCCCATAACAATTTTGAAGTGGCAAAAATTATTATTCTTATTTACAAATGGTAAACCTGAGACTCACGGAGTTTAAGAACGTTGAATAAAGTTGCACAGCCAGAAAGGAGCTCACATTTGCCTCCTAAAGTTTAGGTCTGGATCAACATACATTTGCAGAATGACTACCATGTCCCAGGCTAACTTTGTTAGAAGCAAAATGTAAATGTCCTCGACTTTAGCATAGTGCAAAAAGAAATTTTGCTGGGACCATATTGCAATCAAAATAGAGAGCTTAATAGCTCCTATGTGTATTTATCTGTATAAGATTACAGGATGTGAATGGGTATTCAATTACAAAGAGTAGGACATGGGGGATGGGCAGATGCCATTGTCTATAATGTTGGGTCAAGCATGAGGATGAAGGGAAACAGTATAGAAGGAATTTTCTGAAACAGTAGCAAATACATAGATATCAGTCTTATAGGCATTGATACTCAGTTCCAAAAACTAGCAGACTTAGGCACACAAACCCTATAACACAGCACATTGGATGAAGCTCTACCAACAAACACCATGGAAAAATGTGGCATCTATAAAGTAATAGAGTTCAATTAGCAGAAAACTGAAAATCACTCAGTGCTCCTTATAGAATGCTCCCACTCCATTACATCAATTTAGTGCATAGAACTAACACTGCAAGAATCAGTACTAGATTTGATTTCATGCAGGCTCTGTGGTCCTAGGTAATGTAGTGAATCCTATGGAGACTTTCCATCTGGCGAATGGGAATCATAACACCTACCTCATTAGTATTTCTAATGAAACTGTGCCAAGCAATGCTCTTAAGTGCTTTACACACTTAAGAGCATTGCTTGGCACAGTTTGAACTCCACATTAGAAGAAAATTTAATCTGAACTCATTCCTGTTGCCATCATACAATGCACCATTTTATTTACCATGCATTCATCCAAATGCTGAAATATTTATTCTGCTTAGACCAAGGCTGCTCTTGAGTTCACTTAAAATTTCATCTCTTTACCAGGGTGTGAAGGAAAAGTTCCTTTGTAGAGCAACACATCTTACATCTGGTAGCCATCTCTGCCATAGAAACAGCACAGCAAATGTGAACGTGTGTTAACTATTAACATGATGAATTTCCCTTCATCCTAAATGACATGCAGAATATTCCTAATTTCTCATAAAGTTCTTTGATTGAGTTTGTAGCACCTAGAACATAATGCAACCTGGATTTGCTTCCTAATTCACTCACAAATTTATTCCACTTTGTGAAAACTCTRTTCTAGTGTGTAATCATGCCAAAAAAATTAATGTTGCATATTTATTCATATTGCTTAGCAGGTTGAGAATACTAGTTTGTTTCTACTAAAGATTCATAGAAAATGTTTTGTATTAATTGAGCAAGTTACAATATTGGTATTCCTGATTATAAAAATATGCAKCAGATAACTTGTGACAGTGAAGATCTTGGCTAATCATCAGCTTGATCCAAGTATTTTTCTTGAATAATCTTCCTAAGGGACATTTATCATGTATTTAGAGCTACTGTTTTCTAGTTAACACAATGAAGGACTTTTATTTGATGTTTGTCTATATGCTTAAATATTCACAAGTCTAATTCAAAGCATTCTATTAYATATATTATATATTGGCTTATGTCTTTTCATATTTAGGACAAGAAATTAGAAATGAAAAGCATTTCATATATAGATATGTAAAGCCAAGTTTCTGTCATTTTCCTTCCCCTATCTCCAGTTCTAACTATTTTTARTGTTTAKATATTGCCTATTTTAGCATAAAGCTAAATTTAATAATGTATCTGGATTCTGTTATTCTTTCTGCTTCTTATGTTTTATAATCTGAGAATCAGCTTTTGATCAAATAAATTGAGTTTCTGGATATTSAAAACAATGAGATAAATGGAAGAAAATATTTAATTCAAAGGTGACTGCCAGTGATCATTRTGCTACTCCAACCAGTGATATCAATACTAACATCCCTGCACACCCACTTGGTAAATGAAGYCATGGTGTTAAGGTCTTGAGATAATAGGACATGCATTTAAACAAATAAATACCAGTGGAAATAAAGGAAACTGGAAGGTATTATCTAAAAATCTGAAGGAAATAAAATACAAGGGTACTCACTATATTCCTTCTATTTGTCTAAAAGCAGAACAGGAAATTACAAAAATGAAAGTTCTTTGTAAACCTTTTCTCTCYGGCTTAAAGAAAGAGAGATAAATTCTTGCTTGATTACCAGTTCAAAGATATGGACACTAACCGAATCTGCAGGCTCACTTTCCTCCTATAAATTTGCCTTCCCTATTTTCTTACTTCTGAAGCCTGGGACTGCTTTTCCTGTGTTGTGCCACTTCTCTAAAATTTATTGTTCTTTGTTGAAATACTATTAAAGGCAGATCCCTGAACCACTGCTTTGAGTAAATTTTCTTCTCTGTGATATGAATTCCAAAGACTAATTGATCTGCTTGTTTATCTCTGGTTAGTCTGTTTTTACAGAGTTTTGTCCCAACTCTATACTTATGAGGATTGGAAAAATTGATCGTTTTTTCCCCTCCCTTTCAGAACTTAAGTCTAAGGTTTGAGTAAATTTGTTTGAGTGACAGAAACCAAGGTTCTCAGAGTTGTATGCTCCTGAGGTCCAGAGAACCCTAAGACCTGAAAGAGGTGCTCAGCATTGATAGGACCTTAAAGTGGAAAATTAACTCGGAGGAAGTTCTAGTAAACAGGGACATCMCTAGGGTGGGATCCTGGTTGATCTGGAACTGGATTCTGGATTTGTCTATTTCTAGCTTTCAGAGAATTCAAATCAACCTCCAGTTTCTCAGAGAACGATGGGGGTATTTAGTCAGTTATAGGTTGGATGGAAGATTTAGAAGACAGTGTGGAAAAGCATAGCACATAGGATTAATTCATTAAACAGCAGCTAGTCTTAATAATAGTGACAGAATTAAGTTAAGAATGAGAACAATAAAGACCAGTGTAGGATAATGTATAGTCTAATGGATACCTAGAAATCATAGGCTGCAATTAATTTAGAAAAAAAATAAATATACTAAAAGTAAATTGGAAATGTGCACATGGAGTATATATTTCATAATATTAAAAATTACTATTACAGTTTTTCCTTATGAAAATGACCCTATGCATGTGATTTTAATGAATCCTTATCTTCTAGGAATCCCTGCTGCATTATTTATACATTAGATGATATTATATCTGAGATTTGCTTCAAAATAATAAGGGAGGAATACAGGAGATGCTTATATTGATGAAATAAATGAGTTGGTCATTGTTGAAACTAGAAAACGGGTGTATGGAGATTCTTAAATTCTTTACTGTACTGTAGTTTGTTTTCATTTTCCACAAGAAAAAAATAAAACAAAATGATATAAATTGGTCAAAATGTAAATATTAAAGGATTCTTGAACAGGGTTTTAGACTATGTAAAAAAAAAACATAAAATATATATGCTATCATTTTCACTGAAATTCCATTGCTAAGGAAAAATTAATCCATTTGTTTATTGTAATATTATTTAAAACAAAATCTGATCTAAAATTCATCAGATGGTCCAAAATTTTGAAACAATAGGAACTGTAAGCATTTAGTGTGACCTTTTTTTTTTTTTTTTTTGCAGGAATTATCTCAAGTGCTTTGTGGAGGGCTCATTGGATGCTAAATCTCACTATTTGTGAAAGATTCCTGCATTTTCCATACTTGGTAGAGAAGGAAATTAAGAAAGCTTGAGGTTCAGTTACATGACCAGCATCACATACTGCAGGGTGCAGGCAAGCCAGGGTCTGAATTTAGTTGGGTCTCATGGCAGAGTTCCAATATGATTTGGGGGGCTGTAATGCTGTGGTGATGGAATGAATTAAATAAGAGAAGGCAACTACACCAGATAGAATATATTGCAATCATTTAAATTGATACTTACAGATATTTATTATGTATATAGGAATAAAATAGATAAAATCCATGGTGTAAAATATATTGGGTAGCACTATCTCTGCTCTATTAAATRCAAAGAAAAGAACTAGAAGGAAACATTTTTTAATTATAGTAATTACATTGGGTTTTACCTTTTCTAGTTTTCCAAATAAATTTCAAAATATATTATCTAACATTTTATTTAGGAAAAATATTTGTAACCATTTGTTATAAATTCTGTTGTTAAAGGTATTTTAGTAAATTATGAAACATTTTCTTCTACAAAATGTTTTTTTTTTGATTTTTAGGATTTATTTATTTATCTAACATTTTATTTAGGAAAAATATTTGAATGACATCAGCATGACAGTCTTACCCTGATTATTCAATTAATGGTAAGTGGTGGGGGGCTAAGGACAAATACATATCAACAAATGATATGGGAGCAAGTGGATATGAACATGCCAGAGAATCAAGGTGGAGCCCTACCTCACAATACACACACACACACACACACAATTAACTCATAATGAACCAAAGCCATAAATTTAAGAGCTGAAACTACAGAAATTTTAGAATAAACTATAGATGCAAATTTTCATGTTCTTGTACGAGACAATGATTTTTCAGATATGACACTAAAAGCATAGAAAAAAACAGTTGATCAACTGGGCTTTATCATAATTAAAAACTTGGTGCTTTAAAAGACAATGTAAATAAAATGAAAAGTAAACCCAAATAATGGGATAAAATAAGTGAAAAACATGTTATATATATACATGTTATATTCAGAAGACACAAACAATCTGTATACCTGAATAGTATAAGAAAAAAYGAAAAATTGGCAAAGGAGTTGAGTAAACATTTCCCCCAAAAATTATACAAATGGATAATAAACCCATGAAAAGATGATCAATGTGATTGATACTTAGGGAAACACAAGTCAACACCCATTGTGATACCACATCACAATCAGTAGATGTCTATTACAACAAGTCAGGAAATAACAAGAGTAGGCAAGAATGTGGAAAATTTGAATATATATATACATAYGCACATACATACATACTGCTGGTAAGAATGTAATGCCCAATTGCCTCTTTGAAAACCAGTTTAGAAATTCTCAAAACATAAAACACATAGTTACAACAGGATCCAACAACCTTATTTCTAAGTGTACACTCAAGRGAAAAGAATACATACATGCACACAAAAATATGTACTCTAATATTAATAGCAGAGTTATTAATAATAGCCAAAGAATTGTAACCATTCCCAAATTCATCAACTGGTAAATGGAGAAACAAAACATGGCACATTTGTACTGTGGAATACTCTCTGGAATAAAGAGAAATAAAATGCTAAAACAATGATACAACATGGATACACCTTAACAACATTGCATTAAGTGAAAGAAAGTAGACTAAAAGAGGCCAAAAATTATGTGGCTCCATTTATATGAAAAGTCTAGAATAGGCAAATTCATAGAGTCAGAAAGCAGATTAGTGGTTTCCAGGGACGGGCAGGTGAGGTGAATGGGAAGTGACTGTGAAAGGGYATAAAATTTTTTGGAAAGRATGATGAAAATATTCTGGAATTAGATAGTGATGATGGTGTGCCTCTCTGTGAAAATGCTAAAAATCACTGAATCGCAAACCTTAAAAGTATGGATTTTATGGTATGTGAATTATAATCATCTAATAATTGACAAAACAAAAAAAATACATACAAAGCAAAAACCCACAGTCAGAGAGATGGAATCCTATTACCATAGTTCTCTACAGAATTAAATTAGAATCAGAAACAAGAAAAGGAAATAAAAAAATATGCTGTATGAATCTCCAGCTTTGGAACATATTAGCAAGTCACCGAATCTTCTGTTATGATTTGGGGTCTAGAATGACTGCCAAAGGCCTACATGAAAATGGCTTGGTCACCAGCTTGTGGTGTTCTATGGAGGTGGCACAACTTTTAGGAGGTGGGGTCTAGTGGAAGAAGTTAGATAATTGGGGCCATGCCCTTGAAGGAGATATCAGGATTTCAGCCTTTTTCTCTCATTTTTCTTTGCTTCCTGGCAGCCATGAGTTGAATAGTTTCTGCTGCCCTGTGCTACCTGCCATGATATGCTCTACTATGCTGCCMCAAGTTGAGAGGAAATAGTACAAAGTGACCATGAATGGAAACCTTGGAAATTCTGAGCTGAATAAACATTTCTTGCTTTTAAGGTGATTATCTCAGGCATTTTGTCCCAGGTACAGAAAGAGAATTAACACACCTCTGTGAAGCCCTCATATGTTAAATCCAGATTTTAAATAATCCTGTCTTATTGGTTTAAGGATAAGGAATATATATTGCACTTAACATCCAGTTAATTTTATGGCTTGCATTTCTCCATATTACCCTAAGAAATAGAAAGTGGGCCAATGGAGTTTCTGGCCCAGGATTGGAAATGAACATGTCCTTAATTCCACCCAAGATATTTTCACTATTTCCTGGGATACCCTGTGCTTCAGTAAAAGAAATGGAAGAACACCCCTGTAGAAAGGGCATTTTGGTCACAACCATCTTGTAGCTGATGGCTTCCTATTTCAGTTCCACACCACACTTCCCAGGGTCAATTGGTATGGTTAAAAGTCCCATGCATTGCAATAACTGAACATAGAGGGGATTATTTCCTTTGAACACRGAGAGGGGAAATTTGGAAATAGTGAAATCCGAGGCTCCCTGAAAAGGCTAAGCATACATCTGTCCATTTAATTTACAGATCAAAGTAAGGGTGCAAGAGCACAGAAAATTAGCATATGTAGGCAACAGATATAGTGGCGTGGCCAGATGAGACWAAATAGGAATTCTCTCAGACAAAGGAGGTGACAATAAAAAGATAAATCTAGAACAATGTGATCTACAAGACACATGTTGGAATCACATCCCTGGAGAAATGCAGGGAAATCTATTTGGCTTTTTTCTAGACAGTAGCCTTGGATGGGGACACTGTAAGATGGTGCTTTTGCACTTCAGTGACCAAGCCTGGTAGTGTTTATTCTGCATTTGTTCTTCTTAGTATGTGGAACCACTCTAACAATGGCATCCAAACTTTTCAGGGGATGTAACTTAGAGAACTCTCCCAGTGTGAAACCTAGTAGCATTTTTGCTTGCCTTAGCTCATATTAAGAACCTACTGAGATGGCACTTGTTATATTTCAAGCTCCCATGCAGGGCCCAACACACTCTTGGCCCTAAAATTTGTACCATTAATTTTTCCCAAGGAGTATTACATGCWTACCAGCAATAATAAGCACGTAATTCAACCTAAATTGAGGAGAAGGCTAAAATGAAAGATTGGAGAGCTTAAAATACAGAATACATCAAGGAAAACACTGGGTGCTTTATATTTCTCCTTTCATTTTTAAGTTCCAAAGTAGGTTGAACTACAAAAAGCATTATTGGTAGAGACACTTGGAAGATGTGTTTTAATGAGCTGACAAAATTACTTATAATTATGATCATCATTTTTATGTAAATGGTTCTGTACCGTGATTAAAACATTTTAATAGTTTATTTATTTTTTTTAAATTATTTTTCAGTTATTGGCGGACACAACATCTTTGTTTGTATGTGGTGCTGAGGATCGAACCTGGGCCRCACGCATGCCAGGTGTGCGCACTACCACTTGAGCCACATCCCCAGCCCCACATTTTAATAGTTTAAATGGTACCCTGGATATACTGTTTACATTAWTTGCTCAGTAAACAATTTTCCATCAATAAAATACTGCAAAGATTGATATTTGGTTTTGTCTTTGTTTGAAAAATACTGAGTGTTTACCCCAAATAATAAGATTCTACAATTTTTTAAAGCTATCTAGAATTTATCTAGAGGAGTCACACCATATCACTCTTTCACCAAAAGGGTACGTCAAGCATATAATGATATACTTGTCAATATAATGAATTCATTAGATTTGGATATGATGTTTAAAGTGCCCCAGGGCAGGAATTTTGACTTTTACGTTTCAATTCCAGAAAAGCAAAACATGAGTTCTCAAAACAGGGTTTTTGAGATGTGTTTTAATKAGATGTTCATGTTCATCACTTGCAAAAAAGGGATATTTCACTGGGTATATGATATTGTTTTTATTAATTTACCTAACTAGGGCTGCGGATGTGGCTCAAGCAGTAAGGCRCTCGCCTGGCATGCCCGGGGTGCTGGGTTCGATCCTCAGCACCACGTAAAAAAATAAGAAATAAAGATGTTGTGTCCACCAAAAACTGAAAAATAAATATTAAAAAATTCTCTCTCTCTGTCTTAAAAAAATTACCTAACTCTTCTTTTTTTTTTTTTTTTATAAAAATGACTTAAGATGGCTTCAATATCTCAAAGGCTCCCACAGAGCTAGATGCTCTGATCCTTTGCTTACAATTGTTCACTGATGAATTAGAACTGTAAATAATAGTCTGCTACTTATAATCCAGCAATGAAAGTCCACGTCTTCTGGTCTTCAGCTGGCTCCCCAGCTACAGACAACATGTATTTCTGTAACTACACATTCAGTTCAATTGCATCGACAGTGTCCATTCATAAGGAAAATGAGTAGATATAATTATGTTGAGGAGCTATGTAGAGCCTCCGAGCAGAAGGAAATCAAGTGTAAGAGCACAATGAGGAGAGGGACCATGTGTTCTGATGGTTGCTATCACCCTGCACATGGGAGACCACGAATACCCATACCTTTTTTACAAAAGGGTCCTTCATATGGTGAATTGGTGCAGTCGCAGAGGTAGCCACTGTGCTTCTCCACACACTTCCCCCCATTGTGGCAGTTGCTGCCATAGCTGCTGCAATGACCTGGGCAGCCCGGCCTGACTCCAGATGTGACTTTTGCCCTCTCCTCCAGGTCCAGTGTCTGCCCATTCAAGTGTAAGGAGCGGATGCATCCTAGGAAGCCTTTCTGCCTTGATGATGTTCCTCCTAAAGGTAAAAAAATAAATAAAAGAAAATAYTGTAAGATATCCTAGGGCACAATTCTTCTACTTTTAAGATCCTATGTGTCACAGTTAACTACTGTCCTATTGTTGTATTTTGCTGAATTTTTCTGTTAAATTTTCCATAAAGAATTAGAAGTTTAAACCTGGGGGAAAAAATACTTGTCTTTCTAGACTTAGAACCACCCCTGCACAAACCCACACAGAACACACAGAGAGAAAGAGAAAGAGAGAAAGAGAGAGAGTTAGTTTTTGAGGAGTCCTTTATAGGTTTATGAGTGAAACTTCAGATGGCCATAGTCTTTGCAAAGAAAATAAAATGACTTATTGCGTGGTCTGCAGCAAATTTTCATCCAAAGTAGAAGGTACAGAAGTTAGATAATTGGGGCCCTCTGTACCTTCTGACAAATTTTAAAGCAAGCTGTTGGCTACAACAAGTTAGAAAACTGCAGCACAATTCTCAGTACGTATGTAGCACAGCTCATGATTTTGAAAAGAGAATGTACTTTGGGGCTTGCTGCAGATTAAAACTCCATGACCACCAAATCACTTAAGCCTCAACTACTTGATCTATAAAATAAAATGAAATCTATTTAATCTATTTTGTGTGTTGACAGTAACCTCAGGTAAGAACATGGAAGACAGTGTGCATTCAATCACTGCTGTTCTCTTATCCCTTCGCTGGGGTCCTTATAGTGGCCAGAAGCTGTAGGTCCTTATGTGCTGATTGATCTTACAGTTTATCCTCAAAGTACTATTTGGAAGACAAGGCATCTGAAATGCAGAATAGGCTTGTACCCCAACTTTCTGTGGGAGAACACATGTTGAGGGGTTCAGACAGATACAGTACACTCCTTACAAATTATTGAAAAATGGAGCAGACCCAAAGGTTCTAAGTATTTTGTTCCCACTGAAAATCCAGAATTCTATTCACCTTTTCCTCTGAAATCAGAAAATGTGTGTGAAATGGGACCACAAATCAGAAAATAAATTTAAATCCCACTAGCAGATATTTATTTGGTTTTGGGAATTTGGGGAGATTCTGGAGGAGGTAGAGGTCCAGCCTGCCATTATAGAACAGGAGTTTTATTCTATGTCCTTGGGCTCAAGGAGACACACTTGCATGAGTGGAGAACACATTCAAATCTTTGAGGTCTACTAAATGTACTAATAGAGTAACAATAAGGGCAGCAACTATGTGACATTTATTTTTTGTCTCCCAGGGATCTCCAGTCTGAACCTCATTCATTTCTGACCCCTCGTCCTACAATTTTATTAAATCTTGGCCTAGTTAAATGACTACATCAGCATATGTTCTCATCAAGGTGGATCAGATGGGAATTTCAAATGTGTTATCTTAGACAAGAATTATGGATGTTAAAAAAAAAGGCATAGCTATAAATTAAAGGAATGAATAGGGAATGGGGGAGGCAAGAAAATAATTAAAAATGTAGGAGTTTTCAAGTCTGGGTGAGTGGAGGAGATCGCCCCTTGCTGGATCATAACAGATTACCAGATGAGTAAATAAAAATATGAAATTCACTGCCTGCTTCCAAAGACTGAGATGGAATGTTCCTAAGGAATAAATCTGTTTTCATATTCTGAAGTAATGATCAAACTCCATTGTACATTCAGTTCTGATAGGTGATTACCAAGCAGGCCAAGAGAAGAAACCCAAATTGCATTCCCCTGTCTATCCCAATTTTGGTGAGCAAATCTCCTTTTAACCACAAGATTAATCAATTATACACATGGGCAGATCACAGAGGAAGTTTCTTTATTTCTTTCCCAGAGACTGTGCAGAGTAAGAAAGAGAGGATTTATGTACTCAAATGTTTTGTTTTTTTTCCTCCTGATTTTTTTAGTCACTTYTTATGGTGGATTTGAATAGCTCTTCTTACATCTTGTTAGTATAATTTTTCTTCTATCAGGGGTGGAGAATGTGAGATCTATTGCATATTTGTTTGTGTGTGACTTAGTCAATGAACTTATATAAATAGAGAAGAAGGTGACTAGGTTGATTTGCTAGGTAGGAATACACTCCTTGAAATTGGAAATACACAGACCTGGTCAGCATGCTCCCCAGAGAAAGGGATCATCTCACTTGCAAATGCTGACATGACCCAATGACACATGGAGACAGAGCACAGCTAAACTGTACAAGGAACTAAATTTCAGTTTCACCTGACTGTGTTATATTCCTTACAAAGGAGAAAAACTACACAATCAGACCTTTTTATTTTATTGAGGCAAATATACAGTCTAAGAACAGGATAATTTTAAGACAACCCCCCATCATAAACACACAGGCACACCTGCACACACCCACAGAGACCTGGAGTAGTTGTTGATTCTCTACATCCTCTGATGAAGTTAGCTATTATGTGTGATGTCACCTACCAAGTACAGAGAGCTGTTCAAGGCTTGTATCTTCTACAAAATGTAAATTCTGTGCAGAAAGGCAGCTGCAATCTTCCTTTCTTCTCCTCACTCACAGCATAGATTTACTCTCCCAGATACTTCAGAATCCATCTTCTTCTTTCTATAAACAGCGTCACACTCTGGCACAGTCTCCTCACTCCCACCCTAATCCCTCCAATAGCAGCCTACCTTCAGTCCTGACTGTAGCCATTCATTTAGCACTTTRCAGTCAGAATGGTTGCAAATTTGTAAATTGGATTCTGCCATTCCTGCTTGATGMCCTCTCTAGACTAGTCATTGCCCTAAGGATCAAGGTGAAATTCCTTAGCCCACCTGAAATAATAAATGAGAACTGGTCTCTGCTTAACTTTACAGCTTCCTTCTCCAAACTCCCAGCTAGGTCCCCCAAAGCCTCATGGTCTGCCTAGACTTTGAACCTCTTCAAATGTTTTATTTACTTGATTTGCGATGATCAGCTTTACATCATTTTGACTAAAAAACTGACAAGAATAACTTAGAGGAGAAAAGWTTATTTGGGGCTCAYAGTTTCAGAGGTTTCAGTCCATTGTTGGGCAAATCCATTGCTCTGGGCCTGGCATGAGGCAGAACATCATGAGTGAAGGGCATAGAGGAGCAATGATGCTCATCTCATGACTGAGAAACAGAGAGACAGGAAGAGGCCATGGACAAGAGAAAGTTTCTAAGACCATGGCCTCAGTGTTTTGATTCCTCCAGCCTAGAGTTACCAGGGAGAATTCCATTCAAATTATTGGTTCATCAAGTGAGTTACTCCACTAATGAGATCATAGTTCTTATAATCCAGTTTTTCACCTCTGAACATCAAAGCATCACCTAACACAGAAGCTTTTGGGAAGAAATTCCAGATCCTTCAAAACTGTATGCTATTTCCCCCATGTTTAACTAATGTCCAGAATAATCCATCCATGCAGTCACAAATACACATACCTGTACCCATATAACTAATTCTTTATTCACTTATATTTCTACACACCCACTATTTGATTACTTTAATTAGCTATCAATTTTTTTAAAAAAGAAACATTTATTTGGGGCTCAGAGTTTCAGAGGTTTCAGTTCATGGTCTATTGCTCTGGGCCTGGCATGAGGCAGAACATCGTGGGTAAAGGGCAGAGTGGAGCTCTTAATTTTARTTAAGTTTAACATTGAAAAAAAAATCATATTTAAGTGAGCCCACTCTCCTACATGTCAGAACTCAAGTGAAGATGCACGGAGTCARCTTCCTGAAGGTGGGGCATACACTCTCCACTTGGCCCCATGCCCCATGGAAACCTCTGCATTCATTTACGATGCCTTCCTGAGTCTCACAGGCATTTAGTTTTTCAGTCATTATTGAAACGTACTTTTCTCCTTCCTGGGTGCATCTTGATTTATGCACAGTTCATTGAATGATTAGAAGAACAAAAAGCATGCAGCATTATTCTTAAGAGTAAATTAAAGTTATGTTTTTATGCTTCACTTTATCTGCAAATCTGTTARAGAATCAACACATTGGCATTTACACTAAATGTGTCTATTTCAAATGTGCTAGATACATGCTGGAAAACTTTGTCCTAAACTCATTGAATTYACAGTGGGAATTCATATTGCACAGTTGAGAAGACTTAGCATCAAACTCATTACCTTGGCTAGAGTCAAGGTTCAAATAAATTTAATGTAGCAGATCCAGGAGTCAGACCTGATCTGGTGACTTCAAAGCTTACATTTAACTCCATTCCATAAGATCATGAAATGAACCATTAGATTAGAAAATCTAAGTGAATACTGCAATTAAGTGATTCTTATACTTTCTTTMTCTGATCTTTTACATTGTTTCTTCCACCAAGTTAGATACATGTTTGCATTTGTCCCCTTGACTTCCCCATCACTTTCCTTGACAACTTAGACCATTAGTTGGCTGGCCTAGCTAGAAGCAATTTTGTATGAAACTCTTCACTTGGCCCTTGGTAGCAGCTACCGTCATTATGGTGGTATTTCCTTGCACTGAGTATGAATCAACTCCTAAAATCTTTGCTGTCATCATTCTAAGCCTRTCTTAGAAAACTTCCATGTGTCAGTTCCACAGATGTTCATTGCTTTCCGAGATATATCTCACTGCCTTGTGCCCTTCTGAGCATAAGCCCAGGAGGCTCTATTTCTCTCACATGTGCTTGTTCTTTCCTGCACATGATCATGCAAAGCTCTTGCTGAGAACTCCTTTCTTGGATGAATACTAAAAGTGCCAGGTCAGGCTCTTTTCTCACAAAATTAATTCAGTGCTATAGTTTCTTTTCTTGTCCTCCCTTGTCTTGCCCCCCCTTGTCTTGCCCCTTTCCCTCTCCTTCCTTCTCCTCCTCTTCCTTCTCCTTCTCTTTTTTTCCTTTCCCTCCCCTACATCTTCTTTTACCCTCTCTCTTTTATCCTTCCTTCCTTCCTTCCCTCCCTCCCTCCCTCCCTCCCTCCTTCCTTCCTTCCTTCCTTCCTTCCTTCCTTCCTTCCTTCCTTTTTTTCTTTCCATCCCTGAACACTGAATAGCTCATTTTCTAG